TGTACTATGGATCATTTAATAACCCATTCATAGCAGAGGATCATTGTAAATGTATTGTTGCAGGCACTCTATATGTACATGTACTATATACTACATATAAAGTGCACTGAACAATAGATTTACAATTATCCTCTGCTAATATGAATGGGTTAAATGATCCATAGTACATGATATGTAGCCCTGCACCCCCTTTTCCACTTACAGAGCTAGGTTATTTTTCTTTTAAATAAATATTAATGTAATTTTATTGGTATCTATCTACCATTAGCTGCCTCATTTCCCACCCTCGGCTTATATTCGGGTCAATACTTTTTCCCAGTTTTTTTTGGTAAAATTAGGTACCTCGGCTTATATTCGGGACGGCTTATACTCGAGTATATACGGTATATAAAATTTAAATAAAAACAGGCAAGGGGAAATTAAAGTTTTATGAAAGCTCTCCAATATAGCAATATCACTGTTAAGTCACCTACTGCTATAATATTTACACAGGTCCCAGTCTTAAGGTAGTCAGCACAATGTCTGTTGGGTATGACCATTTGTCACTGGATGAAATGAAAAAACGGTAAGCTATCAAACTGTAACAGTTTAAGAAGTTTCTGTCTTGTAAAATCAATGTATTACTTCATATCCTGAATTATTGTTGTGCAGCATATTATTATACATGCTTCTATGCAATATCATAATTTCTGTAGTGTAATAACCTTTGGGTGTCCCCATTGTTATTTATTAAGAGGATTGAGTCAACTAAATGTGTTTTGTTTCAAATTGCATACTTTATGTCCCTAATATAAAGTAAAAAAAACAGACTATACCCTTATGTTTAGCTATTCTACCTCATCCAGTATGTTAAAATAATACCTTTCAATGAAGGGCTGAAATGCCAACTTTTTCCTGCGGAAAACACTACCTCTGACTCTTTGTCTCTGGTCATGTGACTAAATGTCAGGGAATTGGTAAACTGACCTATGCCAAAGTTGCATCGGGAGCTGACTTTCAGGAACAGCTGACCAATTAGTGTATGCCAAGTAAGTGACCAACGACTTTAGGGACCATGTGTCTAATGCTTTGGCATTTAGACACCTGACCAACACCAGTGATAGCTTGAGCCCTTATATTAACATTTATAGGTTTATTGGACCAGGTTAGGCAGTGCAAATAAACACCACATTTTTAGTGTATAGATCCACTATAAAACTGGTAATTTTATTGAAATGTTAGTAATCTTTGATATTTTATTCATCAGTGGCATCAGAATTGGATTTACACCTGATGTATTAACAGAGGCTGTGGCTGAGCTCACAGTAGCATTGTTGCTGGCAACATCTCGACGACTTATTGAGGCTGTGGATGAAGCAAGAAGGTAATGGGAAAAAATGGCCTGGTCTAAGCAGGGGTACTCAACTAAATCTAGTCATACACTAATTGATTTTTACTTCTAGTTCAGCTGCTTAAATATTTCTGGTGATGTCTAGATGGCATAGAGGTTAAGATGTAAGCGGTAATGAGTAACCAGGTAAAGATAAAGTCATGGGAAAAACTTTAGCAGATTTGAATCAGCAGTGTTCATAACTGTTACAAATAAAGGTGGCTCTGGCAATGCAAGAGTGTAAAAACTTCCATTTGCAATTTGATGGAGAGATAGAACTAGAAGAAGGATGCAATGAGGAGTACAAGATCACTGAAAATCATATACTGTAGGTGTCAATTGCATTGGTGGTTATTGTGGAACCCATGTGTCAGTACTGCCTTAGCAACGCTGTTTCTAGCTAGTTTCCAAGCCCCTGTTTGCTGTCTAGCTGCTGTTCTTTTTTGCTGTTCCATGTTCCGATCTTTGTCTTGTTCCTGATAGTCTTCATCCACCACCTCTCCTGACCTTTGGTTTGTCTACTGGAATAAATGCTGGCCGCCTGTCCCGACCTTTGGTTTGTCTCCTGAAATGTGTGTCTGCTATCTGTCCTGACCTTTGGCTTGTTTCTTGGTGATCCTGGTCCGCAGCCTACCCCAAACTATAGCCCTGTCTCTTGAGAGCTTTAGTGCACTGTTATCTGAGTAGAGTGAACCTAGGGATCACAACCTGGGGTCAGCATGCAGCAAAATCTATCTCTACCATCAGGAGCTCTGGCTGTTAGACTCCACCCCCTGAGGATCCCACTCTACCTACATTCCGTCATTGTATTCCACCTTGTCCGGACTTACAGTCATCCTTTTACTCTGCTGAGCCCAGCTCCAAGCCTAAACTACTTGCACTTTTGTTACCACCCTAGGCGCCCCACAAGTGTATCCAGGGTCCGCATCCTTGAGTCGACACCATAACATATTTATCAATGCAAAAGGTATACATGAAGCATTTAATTCTACATCTTCTGAAACATGCTCGGGGTCTAATTAGAGTGATGTTATGGTGCACTATTGATAGAAATTAATTCAATTTGATGAGGAAGAAATTGATTTTAAAGAAGATAGGCTACCACAAGGTATCACACACAAAAAAACACAAAACTATTTGGAGGCATGGCTGCTACCAGAGGGGACATCTCTGGTACGGATAATGCTGTTTTTGTGTCATTATCTCTGGGTATTGGTCGGTTTATCGCTGGGCGCTGGTAAAATTGCATAGTTATCACTGTTCTGCAGATGTATTTTTTTACATTGACAGATTACATATTGTTTGCACTGGTCAGCAAATGGCAGCAAAGGCAGAGCCTTTGTTATCCTGGCACACTTGAAAAATACAATTTTTATGTAGAATACAGACTCCATTGGCCACAGTGGCCAACAGCAGCAAGCCCATCCTCCCCATTGCCCTTGTCATGTCATCATCATCTGCTATTGCAGCTGGAAATTAGTCCTCTTATGTCGGCACCAAGGGCGTAGTGCTCTTCTTTCTTCTCCTACATTCACATACTTTTGACATTCAAACATGTATGAGTATTTGACAGGATGAAAAAACACACACCCTTTAATCTAATAGGTTGCTCACTAAGTGCTTGCTTCGATCTTGGTCAAGATAGCTGTTGCCGCCATTGATGGGTCAGCCAGCTGATTTAAGCTCCTTTTGGAAAACTTCCAAACATCTTCTGTTTCTCTAAAAAAGTTAAAAAAAGTTCTTAATATATAACTAAAAGTTGCCAGTAGCATGGTGCCTTTTTGGGCTACATGCATGCTACATGCAGTTAGGTGAAAACCACTACCAATATATGGAGCTGCAGCCAGGGACTATACTTATCTATCAGACCACTGGGTCAACTTGATACTGGCTGAGACAATGCACCATAATGACAGTAAAAATGAAACACCACAATGGGAATTTCTAAAAGAAACATAGGCTGGAAAGGGTCTTGCCAAAGAATAAAAAAGATGGCAAAAAGGGGAAAAGAAAAATTGGAGCAGACAGAATGTGGAGCAGATGCCCATAGCAACCAATCAGCTTCTCTCTTTAGTTTGTTCAGTTAAGCTTTGAAAATGAAAGAGAAGCTGATTGGTTGTCATGCACAGCTGCTCCTGATTTTGATATTTGATAAATTCCCCCAATTATGTTGCTAAAATATTGCCAATGTAAAGGCAGAACGGTCTATTGCTTTATATTTCTCTAGGTAATGTTACAATATGCTCCACAGGATCAAAACATGTAGCCTACTAAGACCCTTTGAGGTTAGGTTCACACCTAGGCGATTGAGCCAGTGACCGGTTTTTGCACGGTTGTCCCGCGTGTTTTTTGGTGCGATTTTGCTTTAAAAACCATGTGATTTTCAATGCATAGAGATGTCTATGGGACCAAAACTGTGCGACAACTGGCCAAAAATAGCTCCTGCACCTTTTTGCGCGACAGGCGATTTCAGCTGTGCGAAGAAACGCAAAGGTGTAAACAGGCCCCATTGACTTCAATGGGAATCTGTATTTTGCACGATATAGCACGGCTAAATGCATAATGTGATAAATCGTCTAGGTGTGAACCTAGCCTAAAGAGGCAACCTGAGTCCTCCTTAGGGATAACTGAAGCAAGTGCAATATCATTACATTCTAATAGTTATCAATGATAAAAGGAAGAAAACAAAGATCAGTGTCTAACTTGCTGCTGCCATGAACCTGTATGGGGGTGGGGGACAGTGCAGAAAGAAATGAAGGCGGATGAGGACGGTTACTGTAAGTTAATTTCCAAGTGATGAATGATGAAGTGATTTCGCTGACACAGCGCCTTGAAGATAAGGTGTATCGTCTATGAAGCAGACTTGCCAATAATGACCATGAGGATGACAACTATTTAATAGTTCAGTAGGGGAAAAACTGTGCAACTGTGGCCTGAGATGCGTTGACAGGCAGCATGTTTGCTGTGTGACATGCATTTCAACCATATTGAACAGAACTGTTGGGTTGATAGGCATTTGGACCCTCACTTGAGAGGAACATATACAGAATAATATTTAAGGTTCTTAAATATTAAAAAAAATGCAAGTAGAGAAAACAGGCGTGTATAGCGGGCAGTTGCTCATAGCAGATGATCAAATTTAATTGTTCAGGTTAATCTAGAAATCTATTTGGTTGCTGTAAGCAACTCTTTCACTCTGTACTGTTTACTTTAGTTTTGTTAAATCCAACACTGTGACTTTTTTTTCGCCTTTGTTAGTGGAGGATGGGGCACATGGAAGCCTTTGTGGATGTGTGGAAGTGGATTGACTGGTAGTACTGTTGGAGTCCTGGGTTTGGGAAGGATAGGTGAGTAACCCAAGCAAGGATAATAAGTGATAATCAATTGAATCAACATATATGAAAAGTAACCTTTTTTTTCAATTTAAGTAACAACTGCTCTTTAATTCTGTTTCTTTTTTTAAGGCAAAATGGTTCAAAAAATGTTTTCTTTTTATTAAAGGTGAAGCCATTATTAACCGTATGAAACCATTTGGTATCAAAAAGGTCCTGTACAATGATATAGCACCAAGGCATGAATTAGCAACAAAGATTTCGGCTGAATTTGGTAAAACATGATTCTGATATATTTCCCGATTAAAGAACTGTCAATCTAATCTATACTTCTGTACTATTATTATGATAGTTTAGTGAAATGAATTGATGGTTTTGCAGCTCTGAAATTTACTTTAATGGTTTTATGTTACAATTATTTTATGGACGAAAATCTTTTCTCCAGACTCTTTCATCTTTTAAAGCTTATCTAACCCCCAAATAAAAATTCTGTATGTTTCAGCTTAGCAGCCCCTTAAATTAGGTGTCAGCATTTTTTTTCTTATTTTCTGGCTTTGCCCTTTATATTCGCCTGGTCATCCTGCAGATCAGACACTTCCTGTCCCTAGGTCTGCTCCTTCCTCCACTTTATCTATGAAGTGAGCCACGGTTGCCAGGCTGAACTTCAAACATGTCTGCCTTTCCTTTTCCTGGTTTTTGTTTTTTTTTCTTTCACTTTAGCTCACAGGAAGTGACAAAGATACTAAATATTTCCCAAGATCAACAGGTATTTTCTGTACATGCTGAAAATGTTCTTAGCCTTGTGAGAACTAGCTTCCAATGGTAGGAGCTTGAAGGAGCCATACACGCACAAGTCTTCTATTTATGGCTTTTCATGCCGACTTTTATTAAAAATAAAGTTCAGGTCACAAAAACATTTTTCTCACAGGGTTTGCTCAGCATCTCTATGCCACAAAACAAAAATCTTTGTTCAGTCTCCTGGCGTTTCCTTACAGTGTCTCTGCTATGGCCTCACACTTCAGGCCATGGCCTGCTTCTCCTCTAGATAGTCCTCAAAACACAGCTCTGTGCACACATGTACCATCTCTGGCTGCTCTCAGCTGTACTGGCTTCCACCATAACTCCTGGTTGGAGCCCTCTTGTCCCCTTGGGTTGAGACCTCCTCTATCTCCCAGGTGGAGCCCTGAACACTAGCCAGCACCTGTACCATAAGGGCTGTAAACAGCTGAACAATGGGTGCTGGTCAACAGCAAAACATGGTCCCAGGGTTGGAGGCTTCATCCCACCTACGTTTCTCCAAAGCCTTGGGGGTTCCAGAACTCTGCCCAGGGTTTGCAATCATGGAGAAAACTGAAAAGCCTGTTTTTTCCATATGAAACATGCACCCTGAAGCCCCTCAACCTGTATAAGTGGGAATTCTGAGTTACCTCTAACACTTATCACGCTGTAGCAAGGCACAGCACTGTCACACCTAAAAAAATCTAATGCAGCCACTACATCTAGGGACTGGAAAACTGAAACTTATTACATATTTGTTCTTTAAAGCCCAGCCTGTGCAAAAATGAAATTTTAGTTAGAGGTAGAACTCGGTTGGCTAAGTCAAACCCTGTCTTTTTGGATATGCCTTGAATGTTTCAACAGTAAGATTTCCCTGCCGTAATTTCCAACTCGTGTCCACTTTGAAGTTATTAATCTATCCACATTAGGAATGAATAATGTAGGGACATTTAGCCCATTGGGTGACTGACAACCATGGTTATTATAAATGCGTGAACTTCTGAAACGTTTTGTTGGTTTTGGTTTATCTAAAATGTTTAAAAATTTGTAACCCCTCTGAAATTAAGAATGTCCAAAATCCCAATGAAGTTAAAGGGAGTCCAGACCAGGCTATAAAAAGTGTGTATTACAGAGCAAATCAGCTTTATTAGTTATAAAAAGGATAAAGTAAGCTAAACAGAACACTTTTTACATTATATACTTCTACTGTATGTCCCTAATATAAGACTTACAAAGTATTTATACAGGTATTCAATTTCTTCAAGGACTCTGTAGTTACTATGCCTAAAAACTAAGAACTAAACATGTACCTGAGGAAGGATTTGTATCAGGCAGTCTGTGTTATCCATAGCTGCCAATAAGATTTTCCTTTCATAATTGCTTTGCATAACAGCCTGAACATTTTCCTTAAGACATTTTTACCATTATTTAATAATTAGGCCCAAATGATGGTGACATGCTAAAGAACACAATACTCATACATGTTGTTCATCTATTCTACATCTCCCAGTCTGTTAAATGAAAAACTGTTAATACAAAAGACTAAAATGTTGGCCCAAATATTGGGCTGTGTTATGACCAACTTTTGGTATTAACTTACTGTATATTTGCAGCTCTTCAATTGCCTCTACTGCTGTTTTTCAGTGTCTTTACTGGAGCTGGCCAAACAGTCTGATTTTCTTCTTGTCTGCTGTGCACTAACACCTGATACACACGGCATCTGCAACAAACAGTTATTCTCCAACATGAAAAGCAATGCTGTATTCATCAATACCAGCAGGTAGGAAATCTGAATGGATTGTACTTCCTCAATGCACTGACACAATTTCACTCAACCCGGTTGAATATGCACTTCCAGGTGTCAATACTAACTGAGGCCTGGTTCACACCTAGGTGATTGCAGGTTGGTGACCTCTTTTTGCTTGTCTTGCATTGTTTTTGCATGATTTTGCGTTAAAAACCGTCCAAAAACCATGCGGTTCTCAATGCATAGAGATGTCTATGGGACCAAAACCACGCGACATCTGCCTGAAAATAGCTCCTGCATCTTTTTGCATGACAGGTGATATCGCACGTTCACAGCAACGCTTAGGTGTAAACTGTCGCCATTGACTGGTATGGGTTTTTGTGTTTGAATCCGCCCGATAAAATAGGTGTGAAGCAGGCCTGCCTTCTGAACATCCAACAATGTAACATTATCAACACATTATGGGCTATGAGAAATTGAGATTAAATCACATCAGGCAGCAAGGAAATAGATGTAAAGTGCACTGGGAATCCAGAAAGTTGATGAAAGTGATGGGCAGACAGAGGGCAGCACTCACTACATAAAAGGGATGGGAACGCTGCAAGTACAGCATTCCTGTCTCAGTGTTCACACAAAGCCGAGCGGACAACTGATGTTCTCCGCTATGCTCCTCGCTCTCCATCCTGAAGAAAGGGTCTCCATTTCCGAAGAGAGGCGGTCGGCGGGGAGAGAGTTAGCCGGTGGGGAAGAGGGGGCAGCAGGGGGGACAGACCTGCAGGCTGCATACAAGTACAAAATGAGCTGTGGCTTCCCTGCTCTACATTTAGCCCTGCTTGCACAGGCGTCGGGAGATAGAAATTCCACACCCCTGCCGCCCCTCTACTCCCTGCCCCCCTGATGACCTTGGTGACCTTGTGGGAAATCCGGCCATGGGTCTGTGTTTGACCAAAACCAATAAAAACTCCTTTGTTCTCTTTTTTGTTTGGTGGCACAGATTTTTTGTTCTAATTTACTGCCACCTTGTCTTCGTTGTACACTGGAATGACAGTTGGCAGCTTTAGCAATGAAGTAAGTGAAAGTCAGGCCCCTGTAACTTAAAGGAGAATTATGAGGCGAGTGATTTTCACTCAGCCTCATAATCTGAGCCGACCTGTGACAATGAAACTGTCACAGGTCGGCTCAGTAGATCGGGAAGTGAGCGAACACATAACGGTGCTCGCTCACTTCTCGATCTATCCGTGCAGAGAGCCATGACTGTCACTCACGGCTCCCTGCAGGGATTCCCCCTTCCCCTGTCCAATCCTCCAGCGCTGACTGGCGGAACGGACAGGAGAGGGGGCGGGTACAGCTGGCTCTGCCTCTAGATAGGCAGAGCCAGCAGTCACTCGCGCAGCTGGGTGGATCCAGACAGAATTGTCGGGATCCGTTCCGGCTGCGGCATCTCAGTATACCGCGAACTGTAGCTTGCGGTATACTGTGCTTTGGATGACGGGACCCTTAGGAGTACTATAGGGAAAAGCCCTAACCCCATAGTTCTCCTTTAATAAAACCAAATAAGAAGATATTTTTCTTTGGTAATAAAATCAATAGTCTTAATCTTGTACTGGCTGCTCTTAAACAGTATTTTTTTTTTTTAAAGTTAAAATAGAGCAAGTGAACATGTAATACAGTATAGTGTTTAAATGTAAAAAGTACTCTTTGAACAGACTTCACAAGATACCTGCTATCATTTTTTCAGCCATACAAATATCTTTGATGCCCATTCTCTGTTATTTTTTACTGAAGAGTATGCTCAATTTCTAATTTTCTATATATACTGTCTATGTGTAAATTTAGATCATATTCAAAGAAAATATGTTTATTTATTGATAGCTACCCTAAATTATTAAAAAAAAAACTGCTAATATTGCTGTGAAATCCTAAAAATTGTATATTTCAATATTACCAATATTAACTTTTTTGTGCAAGCCATTGGGGTGTGTGTGTGGGGGGGGGGAGGTGTTTGTATACTCTGAAACTGAGTTAACATGCTTATGACAAACAATAATGGCAGTTTTTCAGAAACATAGTTAATGGTTTCCTTTATATATGACTAAAACTTTAAGAGGTGTATTAAAAAAAAAAATTGCATCCTGTGAAACTGCATGTACAGTACCTTTGTTTTGTACAAATGAAAACTAATGTTATTAGTATGTCTTCTTTCCAGGTTGAATGTAATATCAGGAAAATACCGCAGTACGGCCACTAGATGGAGCTGAGGAGCACAGGTATTAATGACCTATTTCCTATAATCTTCAGCTCCATCTAATAGCCATATTGTGGTATTTTCTTGATTCGTTCTATTCCTATGAATACATTGCACTTGACCTGGAAAGAAAATATACTAATAACATTTGTTTTTGCCATCCAATTTAATAGAATGATGTACATATGGTTTCGTAGGACAAATGACTCTTTATAAATATACTCCTAAGTATGTGTCTTCTGGCTTTTAATATGCATTGTACATCTTTACCATTCAGGGGCGCTGTGGTAAACCAGGAGGATCTTTACCAAGCGCTGTTCACTAAACAGATTGCAGCTGCTGGTCTTGATGTTACAGTACCAGAACCCCTTCCTACAGATCATCCACTTTTCAAACTGAAGAATTGTGGTAAGTATTGCTGTATAAGGAGAAAGTTGGCATTTTAATCCATAATTCTATTTCAAGCTTTGATCAAATTAAAAAAGGAAAGAAAATAAACGAATAAGCTAATAACTTTGTAAGAACTTCTTACATAAGGAAGCCGTGCACCATGTAATGACTCAGCGCCCGGCTTTCTGATTGGCCGAGAAGCCGGCTTCATGCTCCCTCGTCATCTCATGATGAGGGAGCATGGAGCCGGCTTCCTGGCCAACAAGGAAGCAGATCTTTTATACCTTGTTTTCTAAAATGTACAAGGTTTCACCGAGCAAGCTGGCTCACACCTTTGTGGTTTAGGTAAGCAGTGCATTGCATCATAACTAGGGATGCACCGATACTAGTATCGGTATCGGCGTCGATACCGAGTATTTGAGCGAGTACTCGTACTCACCCAAATGCTCCGCTGCCTAGCCCAATACTTCCTGTATCAGGAAGCCGCGCAGCGTGTCATTACACGCTGCCCAGCTTCCTGATTGGCCGGGAAGCCGGCTCCATGCTCCCTCATCACTTGTGACGAGAGAGCATGGAGTCGGCTTGCCGGGCAGCGTGTAATGACGTGCTGCCCGGCTTCCTGATTGGTCGGGAAGCTGGTCAATAAGGAAGCCGTGCACCATGTAATGACTCAGCGCCCGGCTTTCTGATTGGCCGAGAAGCCGGCTTCATGCTCCCTCGTCATCTCATGATGAGGGAGCATGGAACCGGCTTCCTGGCCAACAAGGAAGCAGGGTGCCGCGTCATTACATGGCGCCCGGCTTCCGTAATTGGCCAGCAAACCAGCTCCATGCTTTCTCGTCACATAGTAACGAGAAGCATGGGGACGGCTTCCTTGCTAATTGGTAAGCCGGGTGGCGAGTCTTTACACGCTGCCCGACTTCCCGGCTAATCAGGAAGCCAGGTGGCGAGTCATTACACGCCGTCTGGCTTCCTGAATGGGACTTCCGGTACTTGGTATTCGGTATCAGAGAGTACCGAAAAGATATATCGGTACTCGTACTTGGTACCGAAATACCGGTATCGGTGCATCCCTAATGATAACCACTTTTTTTCAATGGTTCAGTTCAAATCTATGCACTTCCGTGATGTGTACTTCAGCTGTGTACGCTCGACCTCTTGCACACAGCAAGTCCCTTAAGTTATATAACATCCTGCCTACCTTCTTTTCCCTGATATCTCTTAGGGTACACATTTTAGACTAGAAGTCTTATATACATAAATAACATTCACACATGTAATTCACACAATTTAATGCCAAAAAACCTTCAGCAAGTACCCAAAGAGATGTCCGTTTATCAGGCTATTTTAGGCTGTTTTTGGTTCAATGGTTTCAGGCTATTGTTTTATGCTGTTTTGGTCAAATATCTGTTTGACCAAAAATAGCCTTAAAAGTAGAATTAAACCTACCCTTTTTTGCATATATCTACTGCTAGCAAGCAGCAAATATATGTGCGAAGACATAGAAAAAAAAAGTGTCTCCGCCGCTTGCTCCCGTTCGAAGATCTGAAAAATTCTCAAGCGGCCGTGAAGGATAATGGGCGGGGGCATGCGCATTAGAGATCTTCAGCCCAGGAGAAGAGGAGAGACACAGGGTAAATCAATGCAGGCAGCCCGGCATGTGCACAGACACCGTGGGACACACAGGACACAGCAGTCACCGCTGGATCAGAGACCGGCACCAGCGATGGAGGGACTCCTGAAAACTACTGGAAAGAAGATGATAATCGGATCAAGAGGCATAATTTAAGGTAAGCCCTTAAAAACGGACTTCTGCTAGCATGGAGTCGGCTTCCCGGCCAATCAGCATCGAGCTGGCCAAACAGCATGGAGATGGCTTCCCGGCCAATCAGGAAGCCAGGCGGCAAGTCATTACCCGCCGCCGGCTTCCTAATTGACCGGGAAGCTGGCTCTATATTCCCTCGTGACACTGCTGGTCAGAGGAAATCTCCCTGTCACCGAAAGTTCCGGTATCGGGGGTAAGTATCAGAGCATTACGAATACTCGCCCATTACTCGCCCATTCCATTTAACCAGAAGACAAAGTAGCCTAAAACATAGCCTGCATACATTTGACCAAAAGTACCCTAAACACGGGCAACCAAGAGAATAATGATTTCCATTTTTGTGCATTGTAGCACAATGGCAAACACAGCAAAAATTGCATTAGTGTGAACATGGGTCACCTTTTTCTTTAAGGATAAGTATTGCGAGAATAAAATATACTTATCCCAATACTTAGAGCTTGCGTGTGACAACTGCGGATCCATAGATTGAGAGATGAGTGATCATGTGACCAGTGATCACTCGGCTCACAGACTTTTACCTGTAGTGACTGTCAAGGATTCCCCCCTCTCCTCTCTCGGTTCCTCCAGCTCTCATTGCAGGGACAGACAGGGGAGGGGTGGGCACAGCTGGCTCTGGCTCTAGAGAGGCAGAGACAGAGGTAGTTGTCAATCAGACAGCAGGGTGCAGCCTGACAATATTGTCGGGATACTTCCAGGCTGCAGTGAGGCTCTGCTGTCACAGAAGTACATTAGTAAATATACTCTTGTGATCTAAAAGAGAACTAAAGCCAAAAAAAGGTTTGACTTTTCTTTTAAATAGACTAGATCAGTAGTTCAGAGCCCCTGGTGATCGCAGCAAGTCTGCTACCAGTCAGCAATAACATAATCAGCCACTGTTCACATTTTTTGCCTTTTAGTTCTATCTGAATAAAGTATTTGCAGCTTTAAAAATACATCACCTGCCATGTCCAACATCTTGCTTGGCAGCAAATAAGGCGGCATACACGCAGGGAAACGCATACTCCTTTTTAAAAAATCTTTAGTTCTGCCACTAATGTGGTTATTAACCAAATGAGAAGGGGCTGGAATATAAGCACTGAAGAGGAAGTCATGCCGATTCATTTTAGTTGGATGGCAGACTACTGTTCTGTGTTTGAAACATTGCAAATGAGCTCCCGACATCCAGTACCTAAGGAGATG